TGCATTCACTCTTTATATTCTCTTAGATCTTAAGATTAAAATTATCTCACACCTTTTATTTCGCAAAATCATCCTTATTGATTCATTTTGTCCATGCCTATTGTTTTCTACTACCAATGATATTATCCCTACTTCAACCATGGAAATTCCATCTCTTTGTGGTAATGCACTAGTGCAAGTTGAACCGCTGGACAAATATGTTAGGTTCTACATTGATTGTAGCGGACTAACGTCGTTGTGGTGTGGTAGTGTGTCTGATGCACGTTTCAACCAGGTCCTGTGTTGATTATAAGGGCCTAGAAATTATCTGATCATAAAAATAACGCCATGGATTTTACTCATTTATCAGTTTTCGGAAGGCGCCTTCTGCCGCGCTTTGAACATCGACATTTTTATAGAGAAATAAATACATTGTAATAAATTATCTCTTACCATCAAACCAGATTTAGGGTATGAATCATTTTTCAGGAATTCATCTAGCAATTGCAGCATTTTCGTTTACTGGTACAGCAATACCGTTACGATGTTGGTTGTAACTTATTTTATTGGATATTTACGCTGATTCTTGATTCTGGCTACGAACCGCAGATCCCACACGATATAGCTGTGAATGAGTCCACAATGTGACGATGCTTACTCCAGCGAACGGAATATTGCCGTGACCAAGGAAGATCAACGGGTAAAGGTTGTATCTTCTTTGACATTGCTTCTTGTCTAACGTTCGTCGTGTGTAAGTTCATGGTCACATTGAGAATAATCAACGCTGTTAAACGTCTCAATTTATTCAGTCACGTCTATGGCAGAAGCTGTTACATAACCCGGACGATTTGTGGGCACTTAGCTTTAGCTTATTTCATATGCATAAACCTTACTCTTTTCATCTGGTCGACTCGATAATTGTCTTGTTACTTATCTAACAAACGTCATAACCTTTGACCAAGAGTTCGTTCACGTAAGCTTTATTGTCACATCTTTAACAGCGCTCATGTTGGTTATCATGTCCTTTAGTTTGAGTAAAAACCTATTTTCTATTATCGGTTCTGGGTAAAGTTATTTATTATGCTCAAATAACGTATTCAGTTAGGGTACATTGGATTTTTAAATACCTTTAATGACTCGAAGATTTTTTAAATAATCATATTTCTATATTTTTGTATATTTCTTACAATTATTGAATTGCCATTAAACCTTACTTTAGTCTGTCGTTTCGCTTCAGATTTATTAACAAATTTTCACAATGAGTGAAGGAAGAACTGCTATTCAAAGATGTGAAGAACTTATTTCTCGATGGAAATCTGAACGGAATTCACCAACATTTGACCCAGTTCCTTTGTTAAACAAGTAAACAATTAGAATGTTCCAAATGTTTATCTTCATTTAATTAGCTTTTCAGAATTACTGGAAGAACAGATTAACTTATTTTTTAGTACTGATCCAGATCCTTTCGATGATCGTCATCCTCTGCGGACGGATTCTAGTTGTGATTTAGGTCAGATATTACGTCTTCTGTCATCTCAAGATGCCTTTCTGGAACGTTTAACTTATGTTTATTTGTTGGGTTCTAATGATCCATCAAATGAATTGGTAATTGCTGCATCACGACTACTCTGCGCAATGAGATTGGGTGTAACTTTGTCATTTTCACTGGATGAAGAGGTATGATTAAAGCCTAAATATAACTGCATTTTTTTAGGATGTAATAATTAATACACTTTACAAGTTGGCATTGAGTGAAACTGAGCCAACTAATTGTTATGCTTTGTTTCTTCTGGGTTCTGTTCTTGATAATACAGAATTACTCTATATTACGCGACAAAAAAATATACAATTGGTTTGTGTTCTAATTAATTTTAATATTCTCACCTATTAAATAATAGATTTCAATTGTGTTAAATCGCCTACTCAGTTACACAGGTCAATTAAAAAATGAATTATCTTCAAGTGAGTAGTAATACTTTATTATATCCTTTTATCAATTACCTTTGACTGTTTAGCTACCCAATCAACTTACGAGGGTGGTATGACAAATTTATTGGGAAGTTTTATTTTGAATCCACTCAGGACAGAAATGAAAATTCGGCTTTCAATTGCCTATTTGATCCCATTGGCTGAATATCAGGATGTATGTTTCCTTTTTTGAGTTTAAATATATATATATATATATATATATATATATATTCTAAAGTTTGCGTCTTGTTAATTAGTGAGGCGATATACTTTCGTATATTTTTTAAGACATGAGAATAATCCCATACTAGTCAACCATAAAGATATTCTAAGTGTTATTATTAATTTGGTCGTATCCAGGAAAAAATATCGGTTCGTGAATAATTTGATCATTATGTTGCACCTCACATAGGTGCTAAATTCATTAGTGTATAATAACTTCATTTCTACTTAATTATCCCATTACATTTTGTAAATGTGTACTTCATTTATTTGTTTTTAAATTATTTAACGAATTATTCAGAAAATGATTTGTCCCTTAAAGCTGTATCGGTTTGGTTAGACATTTGAAGCAATTAATCCATTATATAAATTTCAATAGAACAACTCCGTCTTCTCATTGCTTTATCGAAATGGATATTTGCCGTTTATGTGACGACCAGGATCAATGGTTATAAACCTTATGTGATGGCTTAAAATCGAACACAGTAGTTTAGATGCATGTATGGTTCGTTTTATCCCAGACTCTTAGTTTCAGAACTGTTTCGTACTTTATACTCCTCAAGTTCATTCCTTTAATTTGAACTGTATATCTAACGTTTGATCGTTTCTACTATTATTATCCTACTCCTTTGCTGTGCATCTTGTTAATTTTATTTTAATTCCAATAACAACTAGTGAGTTGTTCTTCGTGTAATTTGAATTTAGGCCTGTGTAAATTCACTTACTTATCCCACTATGAACAAAGACTTAATCCGATATTATGGACTCGCCATATTATGACTTCTCAATCTATTAGATCTTATTTCGAATTCGCATAATTTTCTATACTCAGTCGTCCTTTTGTGATAATCAGTAATGTATTCAATGACCTTTTAAAAATACATTTGGGCTTGGGATAGAATATCATATTTGATATAACGACCAAGAGTTTCCGTAGAGTTACCACGCTTGTTTAGTCAAGTCATTGTGCTGTAACGGTTGGCGTCTAGCCATAAGGTACTTGGTTTACTAGAGGAATGTGCACAGTAACGTCATTGCGGGGTTTCGAAATGAGAAGAACAAAATCTACGTACATTTAATTTGGAAAGCAGTCGACAATAATCAGAACTGATACAAGCCTCAGATTAAGACAATCTTGGAATCGGAATTAAAAGCAGATAGTTCACCTATGGTATACGCTTCTTATGTGGGCAGGTATAAGTAGTATACAGTAAGACTAGGAAGTGGAATGCTTACCAGTGGCATATTGAAATAAAAAGATCAGAGAAACCGAAAGCAATCAGAACAACAGAATTAGAAGAATGATGGAGTGTGTAAAGGACAACCCCTAGGGAGATGTCTAAATGATTCATTTACTACATGGCTTTCATATTTTACAAAGACACTGATTTTGCATAAAATAATAAATTGAATTATCATGCATGACTTTTCGTTTACTACACAACCGGCTACAGCCATCACAACTAAGTGTTCCTGCGTTCACGTTTTATGACTTTATTCAAGTATTCAACTGCTCATATGAATCTTCTCATTTATTGTATGTTCAGCCTCAAGAATCATGCGGTTAGTAACCAATGTAACCACGTCTTTATTCCAATGTGACACGATATCTGAATGTCTATAAACTGAATCTCAAATTGTATTATGCAAAACGACTTTGCATCGTTGTCTGTCGAGCTTGATCCGCGATCAGTCAACGGTCGGCTCGAGAAACCAGTTAACCAAAATTCCTGCGGACTCTCGAGGCCGACGTTTAAGGAACATTCAGCGGCATATTGTCTCTAATCTGTGAAACGTGGCCTTTAAAAGTAAAGGCTATTCGTAGGTTGCTACTGTTTGATTATAAGTACCTTCGAAACATTGCTTGTAAGTGTTGGGACCAATGAGTCAGTAACATTGTTAGATGCACGATACTGGGTAAGTGATGGCAAGTCGGCTGACTACGCAATGAGTCTTCATCTATTAAGGTGGTTGGTACATGTATTAGGTATACCCGACCGCCTACTTCGACGAGCGATGTTTTCTAGTTAAGAGTCAGTTGGAGGGAAGGTAGGGTGTAGCTAAAGCAAGACATGTGATCAGGCCCTGGTATGGCCCAGAGTGGGGTGGGTTCGCCCTCCCTCTCGAAATACTGTTTTTCAGCCCAACCGTTCACGAACATGTACCAGTACTCTAGCGCGAGATCAATTTAATGTTATCTGGAATCGTTCAAAAACCAGGCACATGTTTTACCAGGTTCTAAAAAAAGCAGTATACATCCCTCATGAAACATTTAAGTTCCATATTATGTGGTCCAGTAAGATGGAAAGTATTATGGTAACTCACCTTAAAACTCCGAAAACCATCATATAGGGTTTCTAGCTTGAACTCTAACAGATATATTGTAAAAGCATTATACGGCTAAACAAACCTGGAAATGCTTTGTTAGGTAAGGTTATTGAGAGTGCAATGTGATTTTAATTTAAATGATTTCATGCTGGCACATAGAAATACTTCGTTCAAAGTGTACCACCATTCACTTTGTGTTTTTCTTAAACACAACCTCTTATACTTACTCCTGATGACTGATTTATGTATAGAAACCAACCCCTACATGTGTGAGAACCTCTTCAGATACGAAAGATTCTGTCGGCGATTATTTTTAAAGAAAACTAGAAGATAGGTTGGCTTGACTAACCTAAATCCTATTAGAAGTATCAAGAATCGCTGAAATTTGGGACATTTAATGTAATGTAAGTTGAAATTGAATCGTTTGATGACAGCTTGCTTATCTATTTATGATTGTTATTGGATATAGTGACAGTCGAGCGCGTTAGTTAAAGTGTTACGTCACGGTCAGGGACAGTGTATTAGGTAAAGTCAAAAGATCCTAAATCCTTGTCAGGGTACATGGATAAAGTGTGATTATGTCCTACCATTTATCTGTTCAATTATTTTCTGGCAATAGCTTTAATAGTACAAATGTTCAATTATATCCTTCAACTAAACTTGTTGATTCCAGAGTTTAATAGATTACGTACAACGATCACGTCAATTTATCAACCCATATTCTCAGAGCCTTATATCTCGTCTATTGATTTTACGAAAGGTGATACTGAAAACCCTAAAATCTCATCGTCTGGAGTCTTTCCTTAAAATTTCACGTTATTTAGGCGGAAAAACCCTCAAATTTTGTTTTTTTTTCACGCTCAAAGGAAAACCACCGATTTTCATATGACTGGAAAGCCTTAAAATCGGGAGATTGCACCGGCCTGGAATTTTTTAAGGTTTCCCATATTCCTTTAAAACGTAATGACCGGCTTCAGCATTATAAAGTGCCATAAGTTTTGTGTATGTCATGCATTGTTGAAGACAGATGTTAGTTTCACTAGCGTTCGATGGCGTCGAGGTTTTTTTGAAACTAAAGTAATCTGCTTTGATACTTCATTGTTAAACACAGCCAATCAACTGCCCCATATGTCCAAATAACTGGGATAGACTTACGTCGCACAGTTCACGAGTAGCAACAACCTAGGCTTGTTTCATGCTAATTGGTTTTTTTCCGAATGTTAAACAAGCAATTTTACGTAATCCAACCTTGTTTACGACATCGTAATGTGAAATAAACAGTATTAGTACTTAGTTAACATCAGTTATCTATGCACAGCTTCAGTAGGGTCTCTGGAAGTTATTTACCTAGTTCGTCCGAAATGTTACAAAGCACAGTTTTTATCAGAAGCTAGTGACCATCATCCCATAGTTGAGTGTCGGATTATTTATTTAGTTGCGTCTTCATACCGAATTTATTCGTTTCTACATGCTATCGTTGTTTGTCCATACTATATGATTTTAAATTATTCTCTTAAATATAGCCATCTTTGTCCAGGCTTTTTGCAACAAGTCATTTCACATAATTTCACTAAATATAATATCCATTTTTTTATAGTCTGAGTAAATATCTTGTGCGACTCCATACCTTTTGATAAGATTTTCCTCTGTCAGTATGTATCAACTGTGGCAAAAATAGTTTGCAAATGATTCCCAAACAATTTCTATGGTATTTATAGCTTCTTCCAAGTCTGAGAAACTTATTGTATGTGTATTTTAGTGCTTGAAGTTTTTTCAATATTACAGTATGCTGATTAAAGTGAAAACGTTAACAGGCAAAGAAATTGAAATCGATATTGAACAAACTGACAAAGTTGAACGGATCAAAGAGAGAATTGAAGAAAAAGAAGGCATACCACCACAACAACAACGATTGATTTTTTCCGGTAAACAAATGAATGATGAGAAACTTGTCCAGGAATACAAAATGCAAGGTGGTTCAGTAATCCATTTAGTACTTTCGTTGCGTGGAGGTCTATGATAATCCTTTGTATCCCCGTTCATTAATGGAACCAGATTAAATCACGTGCTCTTTGTATTATATTGCAAATATAAGGGAGACGAGGCTTTTCGAGTTTTCGTTCCATATCTTTTTCACTGTTTCTCTCATGACTTATTCCCTTCATAATTATTTTAGGTGATATCTGATCTTCGCCTATGTATATGTTTTAAATTACATTATCGAATACAACCTCTCACGTTGTATTTTTGTGTAATTGATAGTTTACCTGTTACAATGAAATAAAAAAACGAGTGTGTTCTTTTTTAGTATGTGGTTCCAGCCTAGAGCATCAATGGTTAGATTCCCTTATCCCTTGAATTTATTTCGTTTCACAGACATCTCGGTATCAAAGTGAACTCTATAAGTAAAACACTACAGATGGATAAAGTGGCTTTCGTGAGATAGTTATGCATACTGTCAAGATCTTTGGTCAAACTTAGAGCTCAAGCCTAAGGAAGACAATTTGACTTTCGAGTTATAATGTGAAGGATTAGAAAAGACTCTTAACACGATAGGATAGTCCTGAAGTCTGTCCCTTTGATGCTGTATATTTTGGCAGTTAAATATTCGGAAACTACCAAACCCAAAACTCGATAACTATAGAAATGCTAGATCTGTTAAATTTTAGGGAGCTTTTCAGTCTAGCGCGCTTTCCATATGTGTCGTTCTAGAATTCGTGGTGTCCGAAATGAGCATTTCAAGATTTGGTCGATTTAAAAGAGACCTAGTTCAATGAAAATGACTCGGGCGATTTTCCGAAACTTCCTGATTCTACTTTTAAGTAAGAGATGCGATACTGGATGGTTGTGCGAAGCGAAGTATGTTCTCTTCTAAATAGTTTGTCTTCAAGCAGTTCACTCCGTGCATCTCAGAAGACATTACGGTGACATCAGTGAGAAAAACTTTCAAAGGCTAAATATCAATTAATGGCGAAATTTGCCACCTAGATATGTCCTCTTATCAGCTTTTCAAAGAAATTTACCACTCCATAAGGATACATTGGTTGTGGTTTCGTAATTGCAACCGATTTAACTACTATTAGAAACTCTCCTCTTTCAAGTTAATTTGTTTTGGCTACATTGTCAATGGATAAAAGATTAAATATGCTATATGACGTCTAGATTGTTCAGACCTTTCTATTAAGACATTCTATTGGGTTTCAACATTAGTTGATTGTTTAAACAGACAACAAATTACTAATAGAATGATAATTGAAAATTAATTATTTAAACACTTGTTGGTATTAAGGGGCATCGAAATATATGCACCACACTATAAGAAAATGAGGTACACGAATTTCTCGACTACCTTATATGCTCACTACCAAGAGTAGGTGCTGGTTTACGGTCTTACCAGGCTTGTAAAAGTACTTTGGACTTGGTAAATTCAGAACAAATATCGTGCCTAGGGACACTGATTGCTAATTGATTAAATGCGGATTGTATGTATCGTCGCACAGCAAGACAATATCATTTGCATGTTCGCGGTCGAAGTATTTCCCCAGGTATTAGGTCCACACTACCATTACCTATTTCCATCTTAACTATTTGCCGAACGTCATTAATAATAGTTTTCAAAAGGAATAGTGAGACTTGAGAACCCTGCGTAACGCCTTTGCTTGATGAAACAAAGGAGAAAAGTGGTTGTATGTTCTCACTCTGCTTGAGGTATTTGTATTATGGAGTATTCAATCTACTAATAAACTCAGGAACGCCTTTCAATAAACAATCTCAGAGAAGTCCTGCCCAACAAATCGACAGCGACCCTAATGTCAAGAAACACAACAGCTGTTGGCTTACAATTAGTAAGGCAGAGCTCTAACATTTGGCGGAGGGTGAATATATGATCAATACATTCTCGACCAGAAGGAAAGCCAACTTGTAAGTCATTCTTTCTCGGGTATTGAACAATCTGTGAAGTATGACGGGAGCTAATAGTTTAGACGCCATCAGATGTAGATTTATCCCTTTATAATTATTGCATAAGTGACGTAAATCCCTTTTTGAAGATAGTGGCTACTATGGCTTTGGAACGCTTTAATTCCCAAACGTCTGCAAATAACTTGGTCGGTCCCATAACCAGATGGTCACAGGAAAGGGCTGAAAAGAAATCATCGAGGACTGGTGATTTGTGACACTTCAGGATCTGGAGTTACCGGCAGAACCCCACCTTGTTGGGTGGGGCATTTGTCATCGACCACGGATGCAGAAAGGTGTGAATAATGTCGCTGGGGTAGTAGACTAGCTGGACTGTTCCTCGAGGAACTTCGCCCATCGTTCAAGATGCTGGTAGATGTTAATAATTGGCATCCCATCAGCTTTACATATTATTTTACTCACGCCATACTTCTTGCTGCCAGTGACTCGGATGAGTTGAAAGAGCCTCCAATTGTTATCAGATGCAAATGCTGCTTCTTACTCGTAACCACGCTCCGGCAACCAGGCTTCTCGACCACTACACAAACTTCGCACAATTTCACTACGTAAGAATCTACGTTCATCATTAAACTCACGGTTAGTCGGAGTAGACCAACGTGCCTCAACGAGTAGTAAGAAGCCTGTAGAAACCCCGTGCTTATAAACGAGATGTTTTGCAAAGCCACCAGCGACTTTATTTTCTGTTTCCATGGAGTCATGCAAATGTAGCTAGTGCTTATTCATACCTTTTGGTGGGTTGATAGCTGGCCTCAAACCTATGTCGGTTTGATATTTAGTCGCAATGGAAGTTACAGCCAGCTTGCTTACATCGATCCGTTTAGGACGATAAGAATGGCCTAAATGACAGCATGTTTAAAGTCAACATAAATGCTCTCAAAGGAGCTGCAGTCTTGCACACAACCACGCCAGAGGTAGATGATCGCTATGTGACCCAGGCCTGCGACGCGGAAGTGGGGTGCAGGTTAGCACATTGGTGATGAGTATGCCGACAGTTAGGGGTAACCAGAAACAGTCTGTAGTACGCAGTTACAGTAGACGGTCACAGTTATCTGATCTGAGACTAACAAGTCCCCAAAAGCCACTCAAATGGCTCTTCTATGCCTAGACGCCAGACCTGCGCCATTCTCCTTCTAGCCCTACGATATTTACCAAACACACTTTCTTGAGATCGCCTAACTGATGTTAAGACTTGTCTTTCATTGTATCCGGGCTACAATCTGTCGGGGTGTAGTCAGAGATAACTAATAGACATTGCTCCTTGCACCGATTTCGCGGTGATGGTGTTTTTTGGTTGACTGTTAATAGGGACCCCAGTCGATATACGTCGCCTCAACCCTAGCGCTTAGTGCGGCACCAACACCGGTAAAACAAGACCATTCCACAGGGTCCTCAGATGAACGCACGCAGAATAAGCTTTTCGAAGCGAAAAATGAGAGCGAATTTTCATTTTTTTTTTACTAAATTCTTGAGTATAGATTTAGGATAGACCACAAACGTTGATGTTAAGACTTGAAAGAAATGGTCAACCCTATTTATTGTCCTATCTGCTTTAGTGTGCGGACATTGAAGAAACCAGCTAGATCGGCACGTAGTTATAGAAAGGATGGTTCAGAATTCATATTCAGCAGTAGAACTCAACTTTCAATTAGTAGGTGACTTGAGATCGTTTAGATCGGGCAGAATTTCCACCACTGGTGAGCTGTTGTTTAGGTTGAGAAATAAAGGGATGTCCAAAGTGGGAATAGGCAAGTGATACAGAGTAAAGTCAATGTGAGTGTTACTGAATAATTTTGGACACAAGTTGTGGGAATGCGAACTGAAGCGAAAGTAAATTTTTCAGTTTGATGATCATTTGATTTCTGAGTGATGTAGGGCACTCTCCGGTTGCCCAAACCGAAGCAGGTGATTTCCTTGGAGAGCTACCCTCTCAACCTTTGACCTAGAGGTCTAATCCACGTAGCAGCGTTAGGTGATGCGATTCCATGGTAGCCGGTGACAAAAAATGGGTTCATACATTAACCCCCACCGAATCCTGGAGCCCATGTTTACCAATCGTTTAGAGCCAGGATTTTCTAACTCCACTAGGTGTATCCTTCGTAACCACCAACCCGCTTTAAGCCCCGGATATTCAGGTTTAGTCTTCTCACTTCAGTAAACAACATCACCACGAGAAGTCGGTGAATAGAACTTCCCCTGGAGAGCGGACTCTCCACTTTCGGCAGTACCAGGACATTTTAAGGCGATTTTCTAGGCAATTGGAAATAATACAAAAACTTCTACGAGGCTGAATGCATTGACTCGGTTAATTCCGATTCATAGCCTAAAAGCCTGTGGAAAGGGAAAAATTGAAATGACCTCAATAAGATAACTGGACATATGTTAGTGCGCATATTACACTTTTATATCACCATTTAAAAAAAAACTTGAATAAGTAGTAGGACTTGAAGTAAATTGGCTAAATATCAATTTTGTACCAAATAAATAATCAGTGGTGTAAAGAAAGACTACTTGTTAGTTCATCAGTTGTTATCATAAAGTGGTACCGTTACCGATAAACAGGTTTGTATACGTTCAAACTAGTTAAGCCTTTCTGTACTAATTTATGACAAATGAATAGCATTATTTTATTCGTACCAGAAAGGTCTCCTCCTTCAGTACCAGCTAAGTATTCTAAAATACTTGCATGGCATCGATCAACAAATGGTTAGTACAAGAATGTCCTCGTTATGTGTCAGTCAGTTGTTGCAATACATTAGTGAGTTTGGGATGAATCGTCTACATAAATTTATTAATCACGGGTATTGTGTAATTGTCAATGAATCTGATCTGTGTGCTAAAATGGTGTTCTGTATCTTCCCAGCTTCTAGAAATTATGCACTATCAGAAATAGTAATAATTGCTGTCCGGTTGATTAACATGCGAAGTATGGAGATAATCTCGAAGACATACCCTAAACGTTCCTACATGCACCATAGTTCTATTGATCTCTTTATGTCTTGTCGGTACTAATATTTTTCAATTATCTATGTTTAGACGACTCATTTTTCTTGAATAAATAACCATTACAAATTATTTCGTCTTACATCATGTAATGTCGATAAGTAGTTAGGAGAACGTTTCTTTACTTATAAGAGTTAATATTTATATTATTTAAGTCTGTATGAAATTCATTTGAGCGTATTTCGAAAGACAACGATTTTAATCCTTCAGCAATTCAAAAAACAAAGCTATTGAAATGATCACGGGTTTTGAGCAATTCCTTAATACCGTCGTTAATTAAGTAATTCGAAATAGATTGAGTGTACATTGAAATTTTTCAATAAGATTAA